CAGCATCTAGAGAACATCCAATTAAATTACATTAAATGTTAAAGAACCTGATGCTTTACAGTAACAGGTATCAAACAGTAAACCAAGATTTGGTGGAGACAAAAGCTATAATTAATTTCAACAATAGTTTAGATAAGTTAATTTTTGATAAAAGCTAGAAAGTTTTGTGAGATTTTGATTTGTTCATTTAGAAAATAATTCTAAAATACTTCTAAGTTTAAGGACTAAAACGCAGTGGCAAAGTTGCTGTCTGTTGAAGTATGGGCAGGTGGCCAATGAGGTGGCATTGCTACTAGGAAGATGTAATTGCCCATTCCTGAAACAAGGTTAAGTATCTTTCTGGGAAAGCTTCTCAAAATCTACCAGGCCTAATTCTCCTAGATCTCACAGGCTTGGAAACTTGACTTCTTCCTCTTCCTTTTTTTTTTTTTTTTTTTTTCTGAAACAGTCTCACTCTGTGGCCCAGGCTGGAGTGCAGTGGTGCAATATCAGCTCACTGCAACCTCCGCTTTCCGAGTTCAAGCGATTCTCCTGTTTCAGCCTCCAGAGTAGATGGGATTACAGGTGCCCACCACCACGCCTGGCTATTTTTTTGTATTTTTAGTAGAGATGAGGTTTCATGATATTGGGCAGGCTGGTCTCAAACTCCTGACCTCAGGTGATCTACCTGCCTCGGCCTCCCAAAGTGCTGGGATTACAGGCATGAACCACCGCACCTGGCCAGGAACCTGACTTCTTAACAAATCTAGAGCTCTTCTGTCTCTCAGAGCAAAATCACTTTAACCAAAGTGATTAAGACCAGAATCCATTGATTAAAACAGTGTGTGTGTGTGTGTGTACACACGCACATATACACACAAAAAATATCTCAGAGACTTAAATACATTTCCATTACTCAGCAGATACAAACAACAATTTCAGTTATGATCATAAAGTTGCTTGGCGAACATGGAATCAGAATAAAGAAAGTTGAGATGGAATTTCCTTGGTCCAAATCTCCTCTGCCTAGCTGGTGGTTGAATAAAAATAAGCCATCAACTGTGCCTATTACTCTTTTTGTCAATCCTTCAATCAGGTTATAATCTAACCCTCTATCAGCTCAGAAAACAAGTTGCTCTTTTTTCTTTCCTCAAAATCCATTAGATATTGAATTGTAGATTAAGATTTGGAGGGCAAATGTTTATTTGTTGCTTATTTCAAATTCTATTTATTGACTCATTCTGCCCACATGGTAACAAAAACAATATCCTAGAGGACCAATAGGGTTTTCTATTCATTGTCCTCTCATTTACAAGAAAGAGACTATAGCCTGGGCCAGCATTGGTCTGACTGTCAAGGAACTTATTATACTCTTAAGAGCAAATTATGTTCAATAATGAAGGCAAGGGTAAGAAGAAGCCACCCTGAATCCAGTGGAACTGCTGTGCTCTGAAGTAAGGTTATTGGCACAGGGCTTTTCTGTCGTTTACCCATGAATGCTGTCCTTAGCATCTTAGCATCACCACCTCACCCTTGTGTGTCCCTAGTTACAGCTGAAAGCTTGGTGTAAAACACACGCCTAAGAATGCCTTTATAAATGATAAGGCAAATGGTCCAAACAAAAATTAAGGCTGACTTCAAAATATAATTTTAACTAGTTATTTTTATAAAATTCAAATACTATAGAATGTGCTATCTGCTTAAATAGACAAAGCTCTTGAAGCATTTTGAGATACCAGTTGTTTGGTGGGTGAATTGTAATGAAGCTTCTTTAAGATTCTCTGCAGAAGTAGACAAGTGATCATTGAATTTAGTTTGTTGTCTTACGGACTGGGCTCCTACTGTCATGAAAACCTGAAATTGGTTGCCAGTCACTTGCATAGTAATTTTGAGAGTCTTATGATTTAAAGTTCAGTCATTTCTTGGAATTAAAAAAAAAAAAAAACTAAACTGAAGGATGCTTATTGAGGAAGCTTCCATCATCGACCTCCATTTAAAAAATTTTTTACTGTGTGGATTGTAATCAGGGCAATAATAGGATCATCCATAAGCTCCACATCACTCAGCCATATTGAATTATGATGTAATCTAGTAAAGAAATCAATAAGTGAGACCCAATAAGGAACCTGAGATTGTTCAAAGCTAGAATGCAGGTAGGCACCATATGGCCAGAATTGAAGTGACTCCGTATTATCTTCAAACAGGGATATTGGATTTATGCAGTTTCTTTGGGCAGGGCAAAATGATCTTATAATGCCTCCAGTTACAGGCTAGGAGACATTAGGCACCACACTATCCCTTCAAGGTACGGTCGTTTTAACAAGTCCTAGGAGGGCAAAGAGGGCTGTTTGAATTCATTCAGAGCTCTCAGAGGGACTCACAGCAGCAGCCTCCTTGTATTGTCCTAATGTGAGCTGACCCTTTCTGCATCAGGTGGCTTCTCTGACTATCCTACCCTTTGGGTACAGGGCAATTAATCCGCAAAGGCAAAACCCTGAACCCTGGGCTAAGAAAATACAAACCAATTTGGTAAACAAATGATATGTAAAATCTATACACACAAAGTGGCAAGTGACAAAGGAAATTGCAAATGCCCTTAAATGCTCTTTCCCATCGATTGGCAGAGAGAATCTAACACATACACAGAGGAGATGGAGCATAAAATTGGGCGGACTGACTCAGAGGTTTGTTTTGATTTTTAAAATCATTTATTAAAACTAAAAATGAGTGTGCGTAGGTGTGGGGAGGGGAAACAAGGATTCCCTAACCAGCAAAGGGGCTGTCGGCAGGCGACGCACAAATGAAAGCGCGCTTCCTAAATTTCCAAAGCACTAAATGGAAAGATATGCGCAATTAGCGTGGGATTCGCCCAGAAGATCCCCCTCAGGAGTTGAAGGGGATCCCGTCCCTGCCAGAGGGAAGCTCACGACTGGACCGGAACTTCTAGAGAAGGTGAGCTTCAGGTAGGGACCGGCCCCGCCAATCCGAGGCAGTTGTCTACAAGAAAACACACGGGTGCTCCCGCTGCTCCTGCGGGGTGGTTATCCGGGGTCAGGCGCCGTGCAGGGCAGCTGGAGGGCCCTAAATGGCTCAGCCACCCGGGCCCGCGGCGCAACAGGCTGCACAATAAATTAAAACAATAGTGAGAATAAGCAAATGGTCTGGAAGGCAGGCGGAACGGAAGCTCGCTCTTCGGCGCTGGAGTGTCGCGGGGCTGGGGGTGTCAGCGTCCCAGGGATGCGAACTTCCTCCTCCCCAATCCCTCTCCCGAGAAGTCTCTTCCGTGGGTGCGTCCTCCGGGCCATGGGGAAACAGAGGCAGAGACTCGGGACGGAGAAATCGAGAACCCAGGGCAACGCGATGGCTACTGCGGCGTCATCACTTTTTCACCAAGACCCCCCTGGGTCCCAGGGTGGGAAGCCCTTCGCACACTCCAGCCAGTGGGATCCCCGGCTGGGTTCCGTCGCGCGCGTGGCTCTGTGGCCAGGAGCCTCCTTGTTGTCGCCTGCGTGGTCCTGAGATTTGTCGCTCGCGCCCACAGGCCTGGAGATTGGCAGCACCACGCAGCTGTTGTCCAGCTCCGGAGCTGCTGCGCTCAATCCGATTCCCTCTGATGCTTTCACTGATATTAATTTTTCCCCCTTTCCAACTGGCTTTTTATTTATTTATTTTTTAACGCAATCATTTTTGGGAGGCAACAACTCGGACATCCCGTATCCTTAATCTGATAATCCCACTCCTGCTTTTATATTCCTGCAGCTTTAACTCCTGCAAATATTTGTGTCCTTCACAGAAAAGGTGTTCCTCAGTCTACCTCCAACCTCGCCGGCCAATTTATCTTTCCCGAGCTCACAGCCCAGACACGGGTATCTTGTGATCTTGCAGCAATTCAGCGGGAAAGACTCGGTTTTGGTTTTGGTTTGAGGTTGCTGGTAGGGGGGTTGCCCCCCGCCCCGATGTTTGGGGGAGTTATGCTTGTTTTATGATTACTATTTTTGTTTCCTGCAGTCAAGGAAAACTGTCGGTGTTACAAGCAAACTTACCGTCCCCCGCCTCGGGGACGTGAGTTCCAGTCCTGGACACTACTTTCTCTCTCTCTTGTCTTCCCTCGTCCACGTTCAGTTTCTTAACTATCGTTGTCCTTGATCTTTTCCCGAAATGCCTGGACCCTTGCTTTAGCCCCTCCTCCGATTTGCCCCTTTCTTTAATTTGTCTTCTGTGTTAGCGCTGGGTCAGCGCGCCTTTTGTGCTGAGGTCCCGGGCCCGGGTGTGTGTGTGTGTGTGTGTGTGTATGTTTCTTTTGTTATTTTCTCCCCTAACACTGCAGAAATGAAACACACATGCAGCTCTGTCGCCTCATATTTTCAGATGTTTTTCACACTATTGTCTGCCCCAGCCCGTTGAAAGTGCAAAGTGAAAACAGATGCATCCGAAAAAAAATTTTTGAAAGGGGACAATCCTAGGATGGAGAGTAACCCCTCGAATACAGATAAGCAATAAATATTATATCAGATTTATAACGTGTATCGAGCAGTCTTGATTAGCACCAAGGTGAGCTTTGGTGAGATTTTTATCATTTCCATGTGTCTGGACTACAAGAAGAAATCACTAGGGGAAGAGCTCTATAAATCAGCGTCCATGTCAAGACAAATCAAAATAATGCCTCTATTATTTCAATCAATAAACCATTTTTATTCCCAACATCTGATACACACAGTGTGTGTCCGTCTGTTTGTATTTGGAATTGGCAGTGTTGCCTTATACAAAAACAAACCTTTCAAGACGTGTCAATGAAATTAAAATTTTAAAAAGGAGCACTCAATTTGACCTTCCTTCCTTTTCGAGCTACTCCATTCTCCCCCTTTTAAGCCGTACACCCCAAGTCAGTAGGAGAGCTTTGCAAACTCTGCAAAGGATGAAATTGCTTTGAGAATTTCAGAGAAAAGGGGTGGCGGGTGCTGTTAGGGAAGAGAAACCGAAAGCGGAGACAGGCAACCACTGGGGCTGAGGAGAGCCTCCAGGGCTCCTGGTTCCAGGATATTCCCGAGGACGGTCCGACGAGGGTCACCGGAGGGTGTGACACGGTGCTCCCGCGCTCTGCTGAAAACCAAAACCATCACCTCCTACCACTGCCACAAAGATCCCTCCAGCAGGTGTAAGGCCGACGTGCTGTAGGGAGTTAATTGGGGCGAGGCTAGCTGGAGAAAGATGGGAGAGTGGGAGGGAGAGGAGGAGGGGGCGAGAGGAGGCAAGAAAGGAAGAGAGAGAGAGAGAGAGAGAGAGAGAGAGAGAGAGAGAGAGAGAGAGAGAGAGAGAGATTGACTCTGGCTGACTGTCGGGTGGCTTTTGTTAGTTTCAGGCAGATTTCAAGACTTGTGTCTCAAAATGTCCTGCAATTTTGGCTTCTGCGGCAGTTTGTGAGATGGGGCCACAATTCTTGATTGATCAGAGGAAAGTAGAGGAGAGATGATTCATCTACGAGTCAACATTGTCGATAGCTCAAGAATCTTGGTATCCTCATAACTTCCTTGGTTATTTTGTTTGTTTCCAAATTTGCACACCCAGGAACCAAATCTCAATGACCCTTTTGTTGCCGAAGGTTCATTCTCTCTTGTTCCATCTGTCCGCCATAAACATGTATTTCTGACTGCCCCATTCCTAATCCATTTCTTTCCATTGGAATGGGAAGAAGGAAATGAAAAGTACTCCCAGATGGAAACCGAAACGGCGTCAGATCCAGAATAGTCTTTGTTTGGATCCAACAGCTGTCTGCCCACCACACCCTCAGTCCCCAAGTCCAAAGCGCATCCTCGGGGTTTCATGTGGGAAAGGGAGAAAAAAGAAACACTTCAAAATCTGTATTTTTACAAGCAGGATTTCACAATCCTTGGGAACTTTGAGACTTGAATGGTTAATCTTTCAGGCGAAATTGTCACCCCAACGACTGTTTACAAGTAAGCCGATGCAAATGTTGAAACCGTGTTGGCAAGCTGGATGCGCAGGTTTGTATTTTGCCCTGAAAAGCTTCTTGGTTTCTCTCCCAGACTGCCTCGGTTCCTCCCCTCTCAGCCTCAGTGCATTGTATGTTGAAGGGGCGGGGGAGGGAGAGATGGAGAAAGCTTAAGCGATGGGAACCTTGAGGCCCAGGGATTTCAAGGAAAGCGAAATGAACCAGGTAGGGAGATTCTCCCTTCATTTCTTTCTCTAATGTGTCTCTCCTAAGGGTCAGAGCGCTAATGACGACCTGTTCTTACGATTTAGGACGCGGGCGCTTTCACACGAAAGGCACGAGGTTTTCTAGTTTTTCCTTGTTCGCTCCGCTAGCTTCCTTTTAAACTCTTCCTTTCCTTCCTCCCTGGCCCTGAGCCTCCACGCCTTACACACGAACACACACATACACACACACCTCTCCCGAGCTCTGCCTCTCCTACCCCAGGTTCCACTCCCCTGTACTTTCCCTCTCCCTCGCCTCCAGCTTTCCAGGAGGGATTTCTAATCCCATTATATTGCTGCCTGAAGGCGATTTCCCATTTCCAGAGGCCTTTTTTTGGTTCCTGTTCAGGTCCTGGATTCAGGAGCCCAGCAATAAACCCAAAGCTTTTTTTTTTTTTCCCAATCATTCAGATCGAAAGACTTTCGAGGCCCTCCTGAGTTCCACTTTTGCACACCTTAAGCTGCCCACATCGACTTGGCACCGTGTCCCCGGGTATTGTTCCTTTCATATTTTCTATTTCTGAACAGACAAACGCACACGAGGGTCCCCAGATGCAGTGAATGAACAGGTTTCCCTCGCAAAAATGATGGAGATAAAGGTGGGGGCGGGGTGCTCTCCTCACTCCGGGCTCTGAAGTGGGGGAGAGCTGGATAAACCGCGGAGATGACCTAAGTGGCCTGAGGCGACCTGCAGGGCGTCCGCGGTGGAGGGCTCCGGCCCAGGCTCTGGCCCGGCCTGCTCTGGCCCTTCCCTAGGCTCCTCTGCAGCGTCAGGCAACCGAGGCCTGCGCTTTCCGGCTCTTGAGGATGCTCGCTGGAATATTCGAGAACCCAGGATCCCAATCTGTATGGTTTTCTACCGAGAAAGGCCCCGAAGAAGACCTGCAGCTCTGTCCAGAAACGAGTTTTAAGAGTCACTTGAAACTGAGCCGCTGAGAGGGCGGTGCTTTAGGGAGCAGAGTTCAAAAAGAAATCCTCGGCACCCTAGGCCACGTACGCGTAAAGGGCGCCTTATAAACCTCCTCTCCCCGCACTGCCCCCGCAGCCCCTTCCCTACCGTTTAAGGCACCGGATCTTGAGAAGCAAACCTAGTGCCCAGCTTCGAACCCCGCCTGGGAAATGTACAAAGAGAAAAGTGATTTTTCAAATCCCAAAGCCCTTTCCTGTTAAACAATTTGGAAAAACTCAGCTATAAACGCTTTCTCGTCTTATACTAAAATTGAAAACTTCTATAAATTTCAGATGGAATGAAGACAAAATACATTCCTTTTACGTTTAAATAACCGCATTTCAAATTGCTCCAGGCAGCAATTTCTGCGAAAAGGGAGGAGGCGGTTGGGATTGTTTGTGGGATGGAGTTTTATTTGTTCCCATTTATTTTGTTTTATTTTTGTTTTAATTTTTTCTTTGAGTTTCTTTGTTATTTTGAGATTCATCTCAGAGACTCAGAATTCCACTCTGAATAAAGCACTTTTTGTTGTTTCAAAATTTCAAACTGACATAAGTGTTGGATCATCAGTTTTCTCTTTGTCTGCCCTAGTTGTAAATAATGGCTTTGAGATTAGCTAATTAAGGGGCATTAATCACTGATAGAAAGGGAATAAATCAAAGCCTTGTTCTAAATTTCAAACTTGCCTGTATAGCTGTGCATAGCTACCCTATCTGGAGCAGATAGGTGCTGTTTGAATTACTGTTCTTCAGAGTAAACCAAATCCACTTCGCTTTTAAAAAATGAATATTGTATTTATACAGTCCGGTTGTGCCGTTAAATTAAGTCTCTCTTCCATTCTTATTCCATTCCATAAACAAAGTGTAGAGACGACAGCGATCACGGGTTAAAAGAGCCCAGTCTTAGCTTTTGCCTGGCATTATGCGTACTTTTTGAGAGTGGGGGAGTCAGAAAAGGGAGGAATAAACCCTAAGCGGATACAGATGGAAGGAGGATAAATAGATTTGTATTGAGGTTTGTTTTTAATCAGAATACAGTTTCTGTAGAAAATTTTCAACGCCTGTAGTATCTCAGGTGCAATTCTCTAGAATACATTCCCTTAACCCCCTGTGTAAGACATTAAAAAAACATTAGGTTCTGGTTTGTGAAAAAGAAGAGCATTAGGTTCTGGTTTGTGAAAAAGAAAAGCATTCAGGGCGTGAGAGAGAGAGAGAGAGAGAGAGAGAGAGAGAGAGAGAGAGAGAGAGAGAGAGAACTGAAAAGAATAAGGCTCCTCTCTTCGCTGCTTTTTGCTGCACCAAAGACGCTCATTGCAGTTCTCCTGGTTCCACACTCATAGCCCGGCACAGGATTTGGGAGCTTGGACCATTTCAACACCGACAAAAGAGGCTTTAAATAAGTACATGCCATAAAACAACAAGCCGGTCCCCGGGAGCAAGTAAAAATTTATTCGTTTCACGTAAAGCCCTCCGAAACAGTAAACACAGAGCAGATAATCCAGAGCCAGGCAGGGGATCTGCATCCTCTCCGCTTCTAGTCGGTGCCGGTGCCGGCGCGTGTGCGCGGCTGTGCGCGCACCTCGGCCTCTGCGGGCACAGCTCCCCCAACCCCCGCCCCAACCTTTGCAAGTAAAGACTTGTGTATTCGGGTTCCTCACACCCCGCCTCCTCCTGTGGGGCCTAGTCTCGGCTTAACTGACACTGTCAACTGAGGGCTCGATTCAAGACTCCTGCCTGGGAAATGTGGGGATCTGGAGGGCAGAGTGGGGTCCTTGGGGCGAACTCGTAAAGCTGCCCCTTTCTTCCAGAAAAGAGCCCCAACCACGGGTGTGCCCCGCACTCCTTATACCTATCCCCACCCCCCTACCCCCAAGAACTGCTGGCTGGAGAAAACGCCACCCTCCAGCCCCTAAGTCTCCCCACGTTCTGGGTTCGGTCCTCGACTGGACCGTGCAGGCTGCCAAAGGCAGGTGACAATTCCCCGGAGGCTAAATCCTTCTAATAGCCTCCGCGTGCGCACGCCGCTCCCCTCCTTCGGTTGCCGCTGCTTCTCCTTTTTCATTTTTTATTTTTAAAGTCAAGAACCTTATCACTGATTTTAAGGTACCGTGCCATTAAAAAGAGGCTCGCGATGTGCGGCGCGCGACCGAGCGGCCCGGGCGGAGGAGGGGCCGAGGCTGGGAAGCCACATTTGCATAAAGCTTTGTCTTTCCTGCTGCTTAGGCTGCCGAGGGTTATAACGCTAATTACACAAGATTAATGTGGAGATTGTTCTCTCTGGCTCACCAAGATTTATTTCAACGGCGAACTGCTCAAGATCCAAAGCCATAAACCATCCCACCCCGCCGCCGGCCCCCCGACTTTCTCCTTGCGGGAAGGGAAGTTTTTCCAAGTCCAAAGAAGAAAACGGGGAGCTGCCGCTGGGTCGGAAGCTCGGAAGAGCTCATCTTGGGGGCTATTGTTGTTTACACCAATTATCCGCCTGCCCTGGGATGTATAAAGGCAATTCCCTGCCTTTCCCTCTCTGCCGGCTTCCAAATGAAAGCCTTTTCTGCGGTGTTGTCTCTACGTTTGGCGGGGGCGGGCAGGGGATGAGAGGACGCCAAGGAGCAAAGCCGGTGCAGGAGCTCCCCTTGGTGGCCTCAATGGGAAGAAACGCGATCCCGGCGTGCCCTCTGGGTTTGAGCGGTCTGATGCTGTCCCTTAGCGGACTAGAGTGGGATAGGGCCGAGTGCTGAGACAAGGAAAGCGGTTACCAACCGCGGGTCACACAGGTATTCTAACCGAAATAGTACACACACACACACACACACACACACACACACCACACACACGCGCGCGCGCCCGCGTTCACCTTCAGGGATTCTGATATTCTGATTATTGGCCTTAGGCAATTTTTTTCTTTTTCCAGATAATATAATCTGCCATCACTGAAGAGTACCAATATTTGAGAATTTCCTGGCCTTTCGAAAATAATTGATGGTTAGAGTGAGTGAAAAAAGTAATTGGCTTAACATTTAACATTTATATATCATTTGATATTTACTTATTTGATCTAGAAAACCACAGGCTCACCATTATTTCCTATATTATTTTGAAGGTATTTTTTTCACGTTATTGGAAAACTGATTTGAGTTTCAGTATCTCGGAATAATTTAAGATTTTTAAGACTAGGTTCTTGTTTCCTTCCTTCTTTCCTTGGGGTAAAATATGCATAGTGAGAAACTTCAATAATGATGACAGTAGAATTAATATAAAATTATAATTGTGAGGAGGGCAACTAATAGCAGTCCACCACTCTAACGTGGACCCAAGATTCTTATTGCAGTAAGTTGTTGACTCACTTTGGACAATTATTCTAATCAAACTGTGCCTCAGTTTCCTCTTCCACAAATAAAGTAATCCCATTGGATAATTTTAAGTTGTCTTCTAGATTTAGTGAATTTATAAACCTAAAGCACAACTCGAGAAAACATGTTACTAATAAGATTGCAAATATATGTTTCATACATTATATTTGTCCTTTTAAAGAGGAATTATTATTATAAATCCAGATTTTTGAAATGTGGCCTTTTCTGTAGCTAAGGCACATCCAGAGATGTTTGCCTGGTATAAAAAAAAAAAAAAAAAAAAAACCTCATACAAACATTAGGGAGGGAAATACACAAGCATACACTAAAATAAAATTAAACAACCTGTCATTACTGCCCCATTCACCCAACCAGTCCTGCAATCCAGGTATAGTATTTTTGATAGTTTTGCTACTGTCTCTGCAAATGAATTGACATTTAAAAGGGAAGAAATGGCTGAATGTTTGGCCTCTGGCTGAGTGGTGAACAGATATTTGTGATTAACTGCCCTTTGAGGGGCTTCAGTATGAGATATTTGAGACGCTCTCTCGGTTTCATTTCTCAAGAATTGGATGTGCATCAATGAGAAACTTTAAAAGAGGAGGCTGTGATTATTAGTAGCAGCAGAAAATGTGTTGGGAAGGGAGCATTTAAAGGTGAAGTA